CACCGCGCACACACACTCGCACACCGGGGAGGGAGGGCGCGGCGGACGCCCCCGCTGTCAGTCAGCGCCTCGCCGCCCAATCGGGGCCTCATCGCCCAGCCTCTCGGCCAATCCCAAAATTCCAAGCCCCCTGAGGGGCGGGACCCGAGGGGGAAAACGTCATTGCGGGTAGCAACCGAAGGGAAGACTTGGGTTTTTTTGTTTGTGTGTGTGTGCGTGTGTGCGTGTGTATAGGTTTTCCATTTGCAGGGAGATCGGGGGCTACTGTCAGGGGTCATGTGAGGGCGGCCAAGGGAAAGGGTCGGATTCGCCGGGGTCGATTGTAATCCTCCGGGCGAGCGTGCAGCCGGGGCAGGTCTTTGCCCCGGGCCCCTGGAGGTGGGGGAGAGGAGAGGGGGCAGGAAGGAGCCGGGGCTGTCCCAAAGGGAAAGTATTTTTAAAGAGCAGTTGTAAACCACAAGCCAGACGTTGTAGATCGCTGGTACCGGGAGGGCCGGCCTTGTGACCCCAGGCTCCCCAAGGCCCCAAGCGGACGACGCAGCTGCCAAAATGAATGCTTTGCTCAGACCTCCTCCTCCATCTCCGTTCCCAAAAGGGATCCGGTCCGTTTCCAGAAAAAGTGCTTTTAAAGAACTTAAATGATAAGAGACACGCGGGGAACGTGCCAGGGAAAGAATGCGGGTGGCGGCGGGGAGGGTTCTGTGTTGACTCTTCGCTGACCTTCCTCTCTGCTCTAAAACAATGCGGAAATGTCACTGTCACCGAGTTCTCATCCGAGCGGGCTGTGCCTGCGACGCCTCTGAGAAGGCAAGCTTCCTATTTTAAATTCCTCTCGGTGGGATTTTAAATGCACACCAAAGGATCCCTCCATTCACAGGAAAGCTTTCTAAGAACCAACAGGACCCATGCCGCCGCACCAAAACCTTTGGCAGATGGAAGGTGGCTTCATTTCATCCTGCTTTTCAGTGTTAATTCCCTGCAGCAAGTATGAATTGGGCGCACACTTGGTCAGCCTGTGCCAGGCTCGGCGATGGGTTCAAAATCAAAACGGGGGGCCCTAACCAGTTTGGCTCAGTGGATGGAGCGACGGCCTGCGGACTGAAGGGTCCCAGGTTCGATTCCGGCCAAGGGCATGTACCTTGGTTGCGGGCATATCCCCAGTAAGGAGTGTGCAGGAGGCAGCTGATCGATGTTTCTCTCTCTCAGCAATGTTTCTACCTCTCTATCCCTCTCCCTTCCTCTCTGTAAAAAAAATCAATAAAATATAAAAAATAAAAACAGGGGTCCCTGATGGCAAATAATGTTTAATCTGGCCTGTTGGACAGACTAAAAAGGGAGTGGACGGCCACCAAAAGGAGTCCTTGAGGACATGAAGTGCCACCAGCTAGTTGTGACAAGAGGGCTTTTTTAAAAGATGAGAACCGTGTTGCTGCTTTTGTGAAAAGGTGTTTCTGCGAACTTCTCTTCCAACTGGGTATTTCCTCTCAAGGGAAAACAAAAATGTCTCAGGTCACATCTTTCAACTGCCTTCTGGGTCCAGACGAGGGGGGGACTCTAAAACATGGGAATAATTTAAACACCGTTTTTCTTAATTAGCTCTCTAGTGGCCATGTAATGTTGGCAGATTTGGAACTTGGGTTCAGAACAGTGAGACCTTTCTTTACCTTGAACTTGAGGTGCAAGCTTGTAAATCAAGACACACCAGGGCTCTGAACCTGACCAGCTAAATATCTGTGCCTGCTATTTAACTTCCCTGAGCCTTGTTAAAATGAGGATTTTCGCTCTTATACTTACTATGACTTTAGATCTTCAAAGTACACATATTTTATAAGTTTGAGAAGGGGTAAGTAATTTTAAGGGCTGTGCGTTGTTTTTTTTTTAATATATATGCCTTAAGTAAAAGCTAAGCTATTAAATATATAGCTGTCTCATTTTTGTAAACTTCATTTTTCTAAGCTCTTCAGCCTCAGATTTTGAAATGAATAAAAATATTCAAAGTCAAAAGGTTAATTAATGAAAATCATGGTTATCTTTTCACTTGCCTCATAGGTGAGGCATTGAGTCTATTAGCGTTCTAAATAGAAGGCAATGCTAGTAAATGTACCTGGTTTTATTCTTATTAAAATACCGACTGAAAGAGTGACAAATAAAAGTTGTTGACTATATGTGTGTACAGATCACCAGTTTAAAGTAGAGATTTGTGACAAATGGGAGAAGGAATCTAGATCAAAACTAACTCTTAAGGTGAAATTTCCCAGGTTTCTCATTATTTTTCTTTGCAACTAATACAGGGGTAAGCAAAAGAAAGTTTATAGTTGTGAATACCTGAAACACAGAGTTTATTCTTGTGTTATTAGTAATTATGGCATTAATTATTTGTATTACAACTGTGAACCTACTTTTGATCACCCCTATAAATATTATATTCCCACCAAAAAAAAGTATCTCAGTTTCTGAAGACATGTCAGTGTTTTCAACTGTATGCAACAAACTGAACATAAACTAGTACGTGATAAAATTGGTTGTACTCATCTTAAGCACAGCTTTCCCTTCTGGGGTTTTGTCAGATAATTTTTATTTACACAGTAATTATAGCAATAATTGCCACATTAAAAAGCTTCTAGATCAGGTTTGTCTTGTTTGGAACACGACTTTATTCATAGGTGTATACTATATTTAAAGATAATTTTCACCCCACACCAACACCAGCCAAAATGAAAATTACAAAAATCAAAATCAATTCTATGAACTGTAAAAATAAAGGCCTCTATTTAATTAAGCTTTTTGAGTAGCTTTCAGGGGCGCTTATCTAACAACTTTAGAATTTTTATTTTTTAGGCCTAACGTTTCCTTATTTTAGCAATAAAAAAAAAACTATTTAGTGTGCTACTATGTGTTGGGTACTTGGACCTAGGAATTTAAAAACGTGATAAAATTAGGTTTCTGCCTTAACTTCACACCTTGACTTATGTAGTTTTGAGCTAATCTTATAAGCCAAAAAAAAAGTTTATATTTATTCATTTGCTATTTAATAAATGGTTTACCTGATGAGTCACTCCTATCATTGAACTTTATATGAAATAGGTAATTTAGTCAATAAAAAGAAATTATCTAACAAGTGTATCTCAAAACTATACTTATAGGTACCTAGCAAAGTTTCAATAGAGTTTTCAGTCAAATCATGTTTTTTGTTCCAACACTGAGATTCACTTGGGGCCTAGGAAACTAATCTTTAATTTAGTGAGCATTTAAAAATAAAATAACATTTGAATTTAAAATTCAATGTCTATAAAGACCAATGGAACAGAACAGAGAACCCAGAATATGACCCAAGCCATTATGCTCAATTAATATTTGACAAAGGAGGCAAAAGCATACAGTGGAGTCAAAACAGTCTCTTTAAAAAATGGTGATGGGAAATTTGGACAGATACATGCAAAAAAAAAAAATGAAACTAGATCACCAACTTACACCATACAAAAAAACAAACTCCAAATGGCTAATGGCCTTAAAAGTAAGATGGGAAACCATAAAAATCCTACAAGACTTCATAGGCAGCTAAATAGCAGACATACATTGTAGCAATATCTTTAGTCCAAGAGACATAAGAAAACATGCTCAAAGTCACTAATCATCTGAGACATGCAAATCAAAACCAGAATGCAGTACCATCTCACACCTGTCAGAATGGCTATCATCAACAAATCAACAAACGATGAATGCTGGTGGAGAGGATGCGAGGAAAAGGAACCCTCGTGCACTGCTGGTGGGAATGCAGACTGGTGCAGCCACTGTGGAAGACAGTATGGAGTTTTCCTCAAAAAACTAAGAATGCAACTCCCATTTGACCCAGTAATCCCATTTCTGGGACTATATCCCAAGAAGCCAGAAACACCAATCAGAAAGGATATATGCACCCCTATGTTCATAGCAGCACAATTCACCATAGCTAAGATTTGGAAATAGCCTAAGTGCCCATCAGCAGATGAGTGGATTAGAAAACTGTGGTACATCTACACAATGGAATACTATGCCGCTATAAAAAAGAAGGAACTTTTACCAT